GTGTGTCTCCATGGGTGTGTGTGTCATCGGTGAGTGGATAAATGAGGAAAAAGTGTGTGTGTGTGTGTGTGTGTGTGTGTGTGTGTGTGTGTGTGTGTGTGTGCAGGTTAATTGATGACTCATTTCCTCTCCAGATTACTCTGATGCTCCTCATATTATTGTTTAGCTGGAACATCCGGTAACCATGGAGACGGCAGTTAACCTCCCTACAGCAGGTGTGTGTGTTTGTGTGTGTGTGTGTGTGTGTGTTTCACAGACATAGACATGAAGTCACATTTAAACACACACACACACACACAAATGCAAATGCATAAGCTCTGCTAGTTGTGTCATCACTCTGTATTGTGAATGGTGTGTGTGTGTGTGTGTGTGTGTGTGTGTGTGTGTGTGTGTGTGTGTGTGTGTGTGTGTATGTGTGTGTGTGTGACCTGATCGTCTGGTCACATGACCCTGTGTTGAGTGTAAGCGGATCTCTGTCATTAAAGGTGTATTAGCTGTGAGGGTCGCAGTGATGATGCGTTTCCTCTTCCTGTTCCTGCTGAGAGATTTCAGGAGCAGCTCTTATTAATTAATGTGCTACAGACCACTGTAATCATGCTGATCTCTGACGTACATACACACACACACACTTCACACTGTCACACACACTTCACATATTCTGACAATTCTTGATTTGTTATTTTCATTATTATTATTATTATTATTATTATTATTATTATTATTATTATTAATAATAATAATATTAATATCATTATTAATTTTATCATTATTATTATTATTATTATTGTTATATTTTGCTTCATTATTATTATTACTATCATTATGAATATATACCACATTATTATAATTAATAATATTATTATATTTTTATATTATTATGTTTTTTTTATTATTATTGTTGTGTTTTACATTATTATTATTATTGTTGTTGTTGTTGTTGTTAATATTTTATATTACTTTGTTTTCATTATTATCATTATTATCATTACTTTTGCATTATTCTTATTCTTATTATTTTATATTCTTATTGTTTTATATTATTATTATCTTTTTTAATATTATTATACTTAATATTTTCGTTTAATTTTTTTTACATATTATTTTTTAATATTGCTTTTTTGCATTATTATTATTATAGCTTTACTTTGCATAATTATTATTAGTATTATCTATTATTATTTTAGTATTACTTTATTTTGCGTTATTATTATTTGATATTATTATTATTATTTGATATTATTATTAATATTATACTTATGTTGTTATTTTTTATATTATTTTTGGCTTTATTAATATATTATTGCTTTTTGCATTATTATAATTTCTTTTTTATTACATTATTTTTTATTATTTTTATACATTATTTTACATCATAATTTTATTTATTTATTTTTTCATATTACTTTTTGCATGATTATAATCTATTTATTGATCTGTTTATTATTATTATTATTATTATTATTATTATTATTATTATTCATATATAATTGAATTATCAATAACAAAAATTAAATGAATAAAGTTTAGATTAAAGCTGCACTAAGTGATATGTAAAAAGGCCACTGAGTAGTAACAGAGCCAATCAGCAGTGAGGGGCGTGTCTAGTGATTATCACAGAGATATTAAAAGGGGTGTGGTCTTGTTAGGTTATGGGTGTGTTTAGCACAGATAGCAGGATTCATCCTGGACAGTTAAAAATAATACATCTTTTAATTATTTGTTAATTTAAGTCCATCCAGACTCTTCTGGTGTACTAACCGTAAGTTGGATATTAAAGGCCAGCCCTACACATTAATGTCTGACACACTGCAGACTCATCATTATGCGCTTATTCATTAATTATGCAGATTATGCATTTTCTCTGTAATCTTCAATCTCTGCAGAGGGAAATCCTCATCTGCGCCCACTGAACTGTGTTTAACAGCTGTGTGTGTGTGTGTGCTGTCAATGCAGAATATCAGTGATCAGCACACACACACATGCATGGACGCACACAAACGCACATACACACATTGACACGCATGCACACAAACATGCATGCATACACCTCCCCCTCATCAGTAGCTCCTCCTCTTCGCTAATAGCCCCTCCCCTTCACCAGTAGCTCCTCCCCTTCATCAGCAAGAGTAACAGTAGAGTATGTAGAGTGCAGACTGCTGTGTGATGGTGTGTATGTGTGTGTTTTGGGCTGCACCTACAGTGTGTAGCAGTCTTGTGCAGCAGATATAATAGTTCAGAAAGTACTGAAGGAGTTCAGAATGCAAAACTGCAGTGCAGAATCTCATAACTGTGAATGAAAGATGACCCAGACGCATTTTTGTCAAATTGACCCAGTCAGACACACAAGACTGAGGAGGAGACGATGCAAGGTGCTCTAGTTCTGTCTGCTGGGACACACAGACACACACACACACACACACACACACACGCACACACACACATACACACACACACACACACACACACACACACACACACACACACACACACATACTGGCCTGTTTTATTCACACATACACACCCTCTCTCTTTTTTCACATACACATACACACACTGTCTCTTTCTCACACACACACAGATGCAGGTGAGATGTGTGTATGGGTCAGCCGCTGATCTAGATTCAGCTGTTTCCAGCGCTGGAGTCTGGAGTCTGCGCTGCTGTGATTATTGCACTTTCATTCATTAAGGACATGTCGAAGTCATCAGATAATTCTGCTTTAATAAATGTTCATCATGTGTCGGAATTCTGACTGTCAGTGAATGGCAAATGAAAAGGCCCCTCACCTCAAAACTCTGAGCATTATAAGAAAAAGAAAACACACGGTGCAGTCGGGAGTGTAGCCTGCATTCATGACGTTTGTTTGCGCAGCGACGCTACTTTGGATGAGTCTGATTTACTATACATTAAACAGCAACTCTATTTCACGAAAGACAAAGTCACAATGCTGTTCTTTTATCACGCATAGATGCTGTGAGGATAAACAAGAGACCAAACACAGACCAAGACCTTGAGTGTAGTGAGGATAAATAAATGACAGCTCCTGAGAGGCTTCCTCTTTATTTGCACAGCAGGCCTACCTTGTGTTTTATTTATTTTTTGCTAATGCAAGCTGTGTTTTAAAAGATAAATATAATGTCTAAAACTCTACATTATTTATATTACTTTAATAAGTTATTTATTTATTCGTAATGGACGATGCACAGATATTGATGTTTCACAGTGTTTTTACACTACATCATTTGAATCTAACAAGCTTGTTTACATTGTTCTACTTGCATTAAATCCAAATCCCAAATATCAGAAATGACAACATTCAGATTTAATTCATGTCAGTTTTAATGTTGATGATTAATGCACTTGACAGATTTCATTCATTGATTTTCCTTCTGCTTAGTCCCTGGTTCATCAGGGGTTACCACACTCTCAGAAATAAAGGTACTCGAGCTGTCACTGGGGTGTTCCTTTTCAAAAGGTGCAAATTTGTACCTAAAAGGTCCGTATTAATACCTCAAGGGTACATATTAGTACCTAAAAAGTACAAAAGTGTATAATATATACTTTTGAGGTACCAATATGGACCCTTCAAGTACAAATTTGCACCTTTTGAAAAGGAACACCCCAGTGTCAGCTCGCGTACCTTTATTTCTGACAGTGCACAGTGGAATGAAGCGCCGCTTACTAGGCAGATGTGTTTTTAATGTCAGGTGGTGTGTGTGATGTGTTGTTTGGTAAATAATCTCTATTTGCATCTTCAGTGATTTTCAGCTAAGTCTTGTTCTAATAGGTGGATTTAGAGGTTTTTGCAATAAAAGCAGATGTGGATTTAGCTGGTTTTGACACAAACGAAAATTAACCTTGTTAAAAACCAAACAATTGTCTAAAGTGACATTTATGGGAAAAAGGTGTTTTATTTACCAGTTAATAACCTTTCCAATACATATAAAATGAAACTTCTGAACCTAATTAGAAGAGCCTGATAGAAAATGTTCATTTACAAGAAAAGAGGTTTATTAAAATATTATTTATTTATGAAAATATATATTTATTTAATATAAATATAATTCATTCATTCATTTAAAATATTATTCAGTCGTTCATGTATTTATTTAAAATATTTATCTATTAAAAGATTATAAATTTAATAAATAATATTTATTTATTTATTTATTTATTTATTTATATGAAATATTAAATTATAAAAAAAAAGCAAATTTGTACCTAAAAGGTCCGTATTTTTACCTCAA